CCTACAACCCGGCCTTACTCCCTTTCCGGCACACTTGCCGGCTGAACGCACTACTACCACCCGCTGCGCTTTCAACGCCCCGGCGTTTATATACGCCCTACTGCCGATTGCCCGCTCACTAACAAGGAGCGCCGGAATGCGGCCCGACCTCCGTGTGCCTTCGGGTTTAATCTATTAGCCGCCGCAATAGCAGCACTATAGCCTGGTGTAAATAGCTTAGGTAGCGCTAGCACGTCGTATGCCCCTTGGGAGGCAGGGACTGGTAGATCCCGACTTACCGACGTTAAATATACTCACTCGCTCACTCACGCAACACCAAGCACGAGTCGTCGAGAACGGCACCCAACCCCTGCCGAAAGCGCGTTTGGCAGTGGGACGTTCATCCGACAGGCCTGGCAGCCCACGAGGCGTTCGCTCCTTACGGTGATAATGCCAAAACCAAGAATCCCAATTACAGCGACAGACCGAAAGCTCGTGCCGAGACCCCAGGCAAGTTCTCTGGTGACGAAGAGCTGTTCGACAACTGGGTGCAGAAACTGGGTTACTTTGTGGCGAGTTGCAAATGACCGCTGGCTGAGGAGTGTGTGGATATGGCAGATGTGGACAAGGACGGCCTTGGGGTTATGAAGCCAAGCCACATCGAAAGCCGAGGGATATGACGACGGTATGGGCTTCTTCGGGCCTTGTACTGTGCCTGCTGGCAGGAAACACCTCCAGAGGTGTCCTTGAAGCTGGTGCGGGTTGAATCGCACATTGATACTTGGCATAGAGGAGCTGCCAGAGAGGATGGCATTCGATGCGGCGAAGCAAGCGTTGGCTCTTCATGTTCCAATTGTGGCCTCTGCCCCGGTAAGTCCCTGTATTTTGTTGGAGTCAGTTTTGCGCTGTTCAAAGTGGCTAAAGAGCAACAAGAGGGAGAATGGAAGGGTCCCAGGAGCAAGGAAGGGCCCCAGGAGTAAGGAGGGTCCCGGGGGAAGAAAAGTCGCCAAAACAGCACTTACGGTCGTAGGTCGTTACAAAGTCCCCCGCACCGAAACCAGGAGCCCGCGTCCAGGCAGAGTTGACGAAGTCGTACTTCAGGAGGGCTTCATCCAGCTGGGGAATGTCACGGCCGGATAATCCTAGACCTGTCGCGAGGACAATGATCTATTGGCACCTATAGACGAAAATTCCATGGTGAGGAGGAAGGAAGTATTGTACATGACGGAGGGGAACATGGTGGGATTTTATGGTTGAGTTCCTCTCACGTGACCTCTCTCCCTGCCTTGATGCCTGAACCGTCACAACAAAGACTGGCCGGCCGTCTTCTTTGGCGAGTTGGCGGCGCGAGATCGATCTGCTAAGGTCCGAGGGCGAAAACGGAAAAGAAAATGGGGTGACAATGAATGTTGTAACGGAAACGGAGACTGATGTGCCGATTGGGGTTGCTGTATGTTGTATGCGGTTACATGTGTTGTCTCTCACAGCGACGATCGATCTACAATTGGGAGGAAGCTCCAGCTACTAAAGGGATTGGGCGACCCGGCCGAGGTGGCCGCGGCAACCCTGTGCCCGGAGCTCCACCCAATGACCAGCCGCCGAAGCGCCCTTCCCAAGTCTGCAGGCAGAGGACCAGGTCATGTGGCAACCTTGATGGTCCTGCTGGCTAAGACCCTGCGCGTGCTTACCGCAGATAGTTAAGGGAGGCTAGAAAGGGGCACTTTCCACGACCGCCTTCGGCTAGGCCTGGAAAAACCCCGCGCGCTATGTTGCACAACGGTCAATGAGTGACCCCTTATGGTCACGTGATTTTCTGTCAACCTGTTCTGCGCATAGCGTCCAACCGTCCGTTAATACCAGAAGAGATGATCTATCTACATATATAATGGGCATAAGGGATTGGCCCTATTCACCTTATGCTACGGACGCTTATTACTGTCATGGCTAACACTTTTCTACCCGGAGCGTTAGCAGTGGGTGCGATGTTGAACGCGTAACACCAGCGGCAGCAGCAGCAGCGGCGGCGGCGGCGGATACCACTTGACCCTAACAGTCACAGCCTTGTTAATGTCCGGACCCGCCTAGTAGGCAGTCTTCCAGATCTGCCATTCAGTACCCTGGTCCGGATACGGCAGCGGACGGCGTAGTAATAACCACACCCAAAGCCCGTATATGGCCCGGAAGACCCTGCCCAGTTCCGAAGCGGCCCGGTACCCTGGCTCAAACTTCAGCGGAACGTTTTGGGGCACATGTCGGCAGCAGACGCCTAGGAGGCTGACAAGGGATCGAATGAACGAGATCTGGAGCGTCCCTTTTATGGTTAGCGACGAAATTTCCAAAGGGAACTATGCACACACCTTTCTGTTGACGCAGGGGTGTTCGGGGTTCGCTCATTTTTATACGCGAGCCCCCAGCAACGCTGTCGAAATCCTAACGATCATTAGCCCGCATGTCGCAAACCTGATGTGTAGACTCCTTACCTTTAGTAAGGCGGACAGTCTGGCGACTGCATCTCGACCGCCCATCTCTTCCACCCGGCCAGCCTTCATCCTGTTTGCAACAAGTCGCTTAACGACTTGAACGTACTTTGGCGCACTCGATGCCATGTCCTCGTTGGTGATTTCCGGGTTTTTCAATTGAGCGACGACCACTCTAAGCCACCGCTCAATGCCAGACCATTGAAGGACGTGGCCGCCCAGCGCAAATGTCTGTACTCCTTGCACCCTGAAAACGAAGTGGATCGTGCCAGAGGGGAAAAACACCGTATGCCCCGGTGAGAAAAGGACGTATCTCCATTCACCCCCGGTATAGCCATGCGGATTGGCTATCCATTCATCTTCTTCCTGCTGACTTGGGCGCGACATCCATCCAAAGCCAATGTTTCCTTCTTGGGCCGTAATCCAGGTTGAATAGCCGTGACTATCCATATGCGGCGCCGTGTTATGTCCTCCTTCAGATAGGAGTGCCCATTTTACGACGTTGCGCCATGTGTTCCAATCTTCTCCAGATGCTGCTATCCTTTGAGCGTCGTTGCCCATTAGAATGGCATCGCGCATTCGGAGGAGAAGTTGGCAGTTGTCGCCTTCCAAAAAAGACGGCAGGGTCGAAGGCAATGAACCCTGCAGATCGAGAAGGTTCCAGGGGTCGCTTGTTAACCCCTGGCTAAGAAACCGGTTTCGGACTTGGAAAAGCGTCCTACGCTCCGAAAACTCCTTAAGCGAACTGCGAAAGGGCACCTGAACGGACACAGTCCGATCGAGGCCAAGGTCTTCCATGTGATAGAACAGCTGTGAAATTGGGCGGTCCTTCCCCTTCCACTGGAATCGCTGCTGGCCTTGCGTGAAAATAGGTACGTCGACCGATCCAAACTCTGCACGTTGGGCTGCTTCCTCTCCGCTTAGGAAGTATGCATCTTCGCCCGTGGGCGGCCTGCTTTTGGACAGGATTTGGGAAACCAACTCGTCCGTTTGACTCCCCCAAGAATTGGGCTCATGTTCCGTCGATTCCATGTCCCTAAGCACTCGCCGGCGATAGGCTTCGTCGCGAATTGAATCGCGGTTTGGCCGGCCGTCTAAGCTCGACGTAGCCGGCAGACTACCGCGGCTGGGCGCATCTTAATCATCAAACCGGACCCGTTTTAAAGGGGTAGTGTCGATAAGTTCGGAAAGCGAGGCACGCCGGCGCCGGGGAGTGTCGCTTGTATTAAGGCCGGCCGTTTGGAGCTCCTTTTCCGCCTTTGGAAATGACCTAAAGGACTCCGTGCTGGTAACTGCCTCTGTGTACTTTTTAAAATGTGTATAACACATGTCCTAAAAAGGAACGCCGACCAACATAAATGTAGGCATCTGCCCAGTTGCGATGCCGTCCATTTTGTCCAGAAACGCTAGTAGCGTTAATGATATTTTGGGTGGACAACATCGCTCCTGCAAACGCGCAGTGCTGAGCAGCTCGGGCTGACGGAGTGGTTTGGACCTTCTCGGCGGTGCTTCGTGGTAGCCTGGCTTGCCACTCCGTGCTCGGAGTCGTGCTGCAAAAGCATTGGTGGCGTGTTGGTGGTCCGCGTTTTAAGCATTTTCTGCCGCTACTCTGCCACACGATTTGTCCGTGCTTGCTCGTAAGCGAAGGATCTGACGGGATGGTTATCGTTCGGGATGCAGGCGATCGTCGGCGTCGCTATCGCCAGATGAGCTTATGTCCGCCAAATCCCGTGCGGCATCCCCGGATAGGACTTCGGCAACGGCAGAGGCGGCGAAAGGAGGGGACTTTGGCGGTGAGCTCAAAGGTGTTGTCGACTGGGAGCCACCCGGAGAAGAGGAATGGGCGGCGTCGGCATGACGCTCTGTGGAGCTAGCGTCCTCACTGTTCTCGTTGGCGGCGGATAGCCCCTTGGGTTCCTCATGTGCAAGGACAGCATCGAGGACCTGTTGGACGAAACGGTCGAAGTTCGAATCCCCCGGGCTGGCGCCGTGCGGGGGATTAAGCCCCGGCACGCCGACGTTGCAAGCATCGTTCGGTCCCGAGCGTCCAGTGATATCAGCACCGAACGCGGCTGCCGTTTCAATGGTGTCGGCGGGCAACGAAACAGCAAATTCCTCTCGTACTATAAGCCCAAATTGTCGAAGCCAAAGCCGGGAGGCAAGTCGGCAGCAGCTAGCTTCCGGTACGGAAGAGAGTCTTTGCCCTTATCGAATAAATCTCGGTGCGACCAGGCCTTTAGATTCACTAGATCGGCCTGATCGATCGGGTTAACCACTTCGCGCGGTCGACGCAGCCCCCGCCCGGTGGCCAGATGCCGCCGCAGCATCAATCTATTCAACTTCGTCACAGCCTCGTCCAGATCGCGAACCTCCCGCGCTGCGGCGCCGGTAACTTCGCAATATCTCACCCCCTTGGAAACCAACTGGTAGTGCTGGACAAAATCTGCGCCCCAATATCGGTCTACCGTTTTCAGAGGACCGATACATCTGATCCGCCTCGCGCCACGTCGACGAATCTCTCCCACTTGGCCGCATCCTCTCTGGTTTTAATTGGCAGCCTCCGCGTTTCGCCTTTCTTTTCCTTCCATTCTTTGTACCCGACATACTCGTCCATTATGATATGCTCATAAGCAGACACTAAGAGCTGCACCTCGGTACGCCGCTCGAGCACGTCGTCTCGGGTCTGCGTACAGACCTTATATTTCTCCGTGTCGGTTTCGCAAAGGCGGATCTGTATACGGAACTGGTTGATTTGCCGGGCTTGGTCGAGGCTTAATACGAGGAGGTCGTCGCCGAAATCGCCGCCGAAATCGCCGCCGGGAATTTTATCAACAGGAGCCATATTGCGTCGGGCCACGTCTCATCCAGTCATTGCTGTAAGGAAAGAAGATGAAGATGATGTAGCATCAACAACGGCATTTTTAAGGGCTGAGGACCGCCAGATGTGGAGCTTGGTGGTGGGGTATGCCTTGAGGAACG